ATGACACCTTATCTACCTGTTCTCAGACTTTGTTAATATGTTTTTTGACGTTTATTGTCCTTATTCTGCTGCTTCTTTCTATCTATCATTTCATGATCACTTTCACCCAAATTGCCTTCTATCTTCAGATTTGCTAGCAATTCCTTCCTGTTGGTCAGAAACAGGCGTAACATGGCTGTTTTCCTCATAGAATATCAGGGTTGGAAGGGACCTCAGGAGGTCATCTAGCCCCTGCTCAAAGCAGGACCAATCCCCAACTAAATCATTCCAGCCAGGGCTTTGTCAAGCCTAACCTTAACAACCTCTAAGGAAGGAGATTCCACCACCTCTCTAGGTAACCCATTCCAGTGCTTCATCACCATCCTAGTGAAAAAGTTTTTCCTACTATCCAACCTAAATCTCCCCCACTGCAACTTGAGACCATTACTCCTTGTTCTGTCATCTGCTACCACTGAGAACAGTCTAGAGCCATCCTCTTTGGAACCCCCTTTTGGGTAGTTGAAAGCAGCTATCAAATCCCCCCTCATTCTTCTCTTCTGCAGACTAAACAATCCCAGTTCCCTCAGCCTCTCCTCATAAGTCATGTGCTCCAGCCCCCTAATAATTTCTGTTGCCCTCCGCTGGACTCTTTCCAATTTTTCCACATCCTTCTTGTAGTGTGGGGCCCAAAACTGGACACAGTACTCCAGATGAGGCCTCACCAGTGCCGAATAGAGAGGAATGATCACGTCCCTTGATCTGCTGGCAATGCTCCTACTTATACAGCCCAAAATGCCGTTAGCCTTCTTGGCAACAAGGGCACACTGTTGATTCATATCCAGCTTCTCATCCACTGTAACCCCTAGGTCCTTTTCTGCAGAACTGCTGCCTAGCTGTTCGGTCCCTAGTCTGTAGCAGTGCATGGGATTCTTCTGTCCTAAATCCAGGACTCTGCACTTGTCCTTGTTGAACCTCGTCAGATTTATTTTGGCCCAATCCTCTAATTTATCTAGGTCCCTCTGTATCCTATCCCTACCCTCCAGTGTAGCTACCACTCCTCCCAGGTTGGTGTCATCTGCAAACTTGCTGAAGGTGCAATCCACGCCATCCTCCAGATCATTAATGAAGATATTGAACAAAACCGGCCCCAGGACCGACCCTTGGGACACTCGCTTGATACCAGCTGCCAACTAGACATGGAGCCATTGATCACTACCCATTGTGCCTGATGATTTAGCCAGCTTTCTATCCACCTTATAGTCCATTCATCCAGCCCATACTTCTTTAACTTGCTGGCAAGAATACTGTGGCAGACTTTATCAAAAGCTTTGCTAAAGTCAAGGAATAACATGTCCACTGCTTTCCCCTCATCCACAGAGCCAGTTATTTCATCATAGAAGGCAATTAGGTTAGTCAGGCATGACTTGCCCTTGGTGAATCCATGCTGACTGTTCCTGATCACTTTCCTCTTCTCTAAATGCTTCAGAATTGATTCCTTGAGGACCTGCTCCATGATTTTTCCAGAGACTGAGGTGAAGCTGACTGGCCTGTAGCTCCCTGGATTCTTCTTCTTCCCTTCTTCCTGGTTACTTCCTCCACTTTATGAAACAAAAAGTTGTCCCCAGTGCATTCCAATAAGTTCTTGTAATTCGTGTTTTGCCATAATTTTAAACATATCTGGGTAGATAAATTTCCCATTACTACCGGGTCTTATATTTGGGATATTTCTGTTTGTTCAAGAAATTCCTCATCATCTTTCTGATTTAGTAGTCCTCTACCATGACATGACTCCTATTTTTTTAACCCCTTTTATCTTTACACAGAGATTTTCAACTGGTCTGCCTCTCATCACCTTCTGGACCTCAGAACAAGTCTATATATTCTTGATGTATATTGCAACACCTTCTCCCATTTTATCTAGCTTGTCCTTCCTGAACAAGCTGTGATCCTTTATACCAATATTCTAGTCATGAGACTTATACCATATCTCTGTCTTAATTGAAGACTATTAAAAAATATTAAAGGCCAGAAGTGACTTCCTGCATAACACAGGTCAAAGAACCTCACCTAACAATTTCTGCATCAAGCTTCTTACTTCTGTTCGAACAATAGTATTTCATCTAGAAAAATACCCAGGCTTGATTTAAAGGCTTCAGTGATGGAGAATCCACCATGTCCTTAGGTGTTGCAATAATTGTTTATTTTTGCTGTTAAAAATGTGCACTTTACATCTAGTCCATATTTGTCTAGCGTCAGCTTTCAACCATTGGATCTCATGTATTTTTTTCTGCCAGATTAAGAAGCCATCTACAATTAGAAATGTCTTCACTATGTAGGTATTTGTAGATCATGATCAAGTTACTTCTTAACCTTCTCTTGGATAAACTACATAGATGGAGCTTCTTAAAGTCTCTCATTACAAAGCATATTTTCCAGACTTCAAATCATTCTTGTACCTCTTCTAAATTTTTCAATAATGAAGTAGTTTCTGAAAATTCAGGTCTGCAATCTTCCCAAATGAGTGCTCTGTCACTTGAGTTCAAGTACTGGCTGCATGGTACAAGACAAATGAGGAGGGTCTTTTCTGTTTTACCCACCTCTCTTCAGAAGTGGCAATGAAATGAGATAGGTTAGCATCCTTTAAATCGCTTCATTTTCATCTTAGATCCATAAATGTCCATAGAGAAGGCCTATTCATTGGAAGAGCAGTGACCCTGATAAAGTATAAATGAATAGAGCTAGGTGGAAAACTGTTTCCATCCCATGAGAATTTGGGATTTTGGGAAAAAAATCCCATACTGAATCAGGCAAAAGTCAGAAAACCCCAAAGTTTTCATGAACTAAAAATCCAGAACATTCGTTTTGGGTTAATCAAAATGTTCAGATAATTTTGAAATGTTTCATTTCAATCTCAAACTTTTTTTCCTTCTTTCAGGGTAAATTTTCTAAAATTTTGAAATGAAAAGTTGTTTCAACTCAAAAAACCTAAAACTTTCTGTATTGACAATATTAAAATTTGATAGTCTCAAAATATGTTACTTTAACTGAAAATATTACAAGTCTGGTATTTTGTTGACCCCAACATTATTTCGTGAACAGTTTCAGTTTAGACAAAAAACCCTTTTTTTGGAAAATTCCTGACCAACTCTACAAATGAATTCTTTCACAGATGCCTCTCCATACTCTGTTATGAGGACAATACAAACTGCAGTAATAGAAACATATGATATTTCATCTAAGATCCTTTCCATCCCCATTTGCCATGTCACCTGTAACTAAGGACTCAACTGATTAACACTTAATTAGGAGATCTGTTCTTTACATAAACTTATATTGATTCAATGAATTTATCAAGAGAACTGCATTTCACTCTGCCTCCCTCCAGTCCCCCTGATAATTGAGTAAAAATAACAAAGCCATGGCTAAGATAACTTAGATGAGCCTAGGAAAGCAGAAATACAAATGATTAGTAACCAACCACTACCACTAAAATCCACCAATGTCTCCCCTGGAGCCAACCTTTCACTGAAAAGTTACAAAAACTTTTCCTGCAGAAACATGAGAAGCTTTAGCTGAATGCTCAGGGGGCAGGCTAGCTTGAGGGAGGGATAGCTCAGTGGTTTGAGCATTGGCCTGCTTAAACCCAGGGTTGTGAGTTCAATCCTTGAGGGGGCCACTTAGGGATCTGGGGCAAAATCAGTACTTGGTCCTGCTAGTGAAGGCAGGGTGCTGGACTCCCTTCCAGTTCTAGGAGACAGAATATCTCCATTAATTTTTTTTTATAACAACATTTCCCTCATCTAAGTGGTAGCTATGCAAAGAGGCAATAATCACATTCTTGTGATAGGAGATAGAAATATTCTATGTTTAGTTCAAATTGTGAAAAAAGCTACAAGAGCCTTCTGTGCTGATATATGAACTGGAGGTAATGTATAGAGGTCACCGAAATTTCATGCTTGATTAGTTTGTATTCAGAAAGAAACAAAGTTGTATCAATTTGTTCCCTACTGGAGTAAAACTCAGAGGCCAAGTATGTTTTTTAATAAGTTTTAACTGCTTCTTACCTAAATTTGGAGCTGAGCTGAATGAAATACCAGGCAGTCAAATGATTTGCCCAAGACAACAGAATCAGTTGCCCAACAGACACTGTACATGCAAGATATTCCTGGGTGCCATTCAGTAGCTTTAACTACTAGATTTCAGTTCTACTTCTGCCAGGTGTACTCTGTCCCACGGGGTTTTACATGGACAGTGCCACAGGACCCTCTGTTGCTTAGTGCAGTTTTTGGGTCACTGATTTTTGTGACAGTGTGCTGTACCTCCCTGTGTGATACCAAGTGGCAAGGCACAGCAAGCCATGAAAGAAAGAGACAACATGAGGGTGACTCTTCCCACCTCACCCCCATTCCAACTGCTTGCAGGACACAATATATTTTGAAAAGGAAACCTCTTTTATTGTGTTTGCATTCAAAGAAGTGATGTCCTTAAGTTGTGCCTTGAACTGAACTATCTTGCTAATCTAGCACTGAATTTATAATAAATCAATGAGCAAAAATTAAGCTGCACTCTGACAGGGAACTCACAAGAAAAGGCTGTTTCAGATAAGGATAAATAACATAAAGGAATATTTACATAAAGAGCTTTACACAGTATATGTGCAAAAGGAAGGCAGGCGGAGGGAAGAGAACAACCCAGCAGCGTTGAATAGGATTCGGCATAGAGTTTTATTTTGAAATTAGATTCTTCACCAGTGCCATGATGAGACATACACAAACCCAAAGATAGAAAGGAGAAGTGTTTGTTTTTTTAAAATCTTGGACTAAACTAATTACAATGTTATTAGTTGATATATATAATTTAACAAACAGGGACATAAATGCATGTGGGTGAGCATGGTGATTGTCAGCTTGTGAAAGATACTGTTTTGTTCTCCAGGAATCAATTTATAGTCTCCGTACCTTCACAAATACACAATTCCCTAGGAATAAGGAACTTACTACTACACTTCCACAAGTTATTACCTTGAATGCTTCTTTTGAAGAAGGCCTTACAGCCCTCGCAAGACCAGACTCCATAATGGTAGCCTGAAGCATAGTCATTGCACACAGCACAGTAGCGGGTTTCCTTGGTGGATTCCATGGACAGACTGCCCTTTTCACTGGTGCTGGACATCCTCTCCCTGCTCCCTTGTCGCCTGTTATCCGAGCTTGGCCTGTAAAATGAACATTCAGTGAATTTATTGACATTAAAAAGTCTCATTCCAGCTGCTGAGTTACATTAAAAGATATTAAATACTTTAACATTACTTTTACATGTAAGCAATTACCTCAGACATGTTATATGATCACAAGGAGGGAAAGGAACAGGAATGGAAGTGATGTGTGGGATTGCAAATGAAAGGGAATGTGGTCAGAGACACTGTTGAGATGTGGTCCGCACGATGAAAATATTGAAGAACAAGACTGCTTTGAGAAATGGAATGCAACTAGCTGAGACAGAATCATGAGACCAAAAATACTAAAAATTATTTGGCATACTATTTAACATACTAACCACTTACCAAAAATAAGTTTATTTAATTTTCAATTCTTGAACAGATGCCAGTTAGCTTACCAGGATCACATGACCTTGTCCTAGCCAATTACATTGTATTTCTGAATCTAACAAGTTGGACCTTCCTCCAGGTTTTACTTTTAGGTGCGGACATGTTGTCCTCTTCCCCACTTTGAGTGCAGCAGGATTCCCTGTTTTTTTATTAATGAGGCATCTAGCACAAACAGGAACTTCAAGCTTCTAGCCAAAACTCCCCAACAATTCTCCAAAGACTCCCGCTCTTAAATGCCATCTTCCTTTCATGTAGCTAAAATTACTCCCCAACATCTGCTGCCACTCCTCCCAAGTATCCATATCAGCCAAAACATCCTGGAAGCATTCCTCTGCCACTCCCAAATGCTACCTGTCAAAACTCTTATGCCTTCTGTGCCCAAATTAAATTCATTGACATTCAACTGCTTAGAATGGATATCACTTATAGAAATCATAAGGCATTGTCATGTTAGCATATTCCAAGCAACTTTCCCTGAATTATGCCAACAATCCAGTTTAATAGCATTTTTGAAGTCAAGCGAAAGCTTTTGCCTCAAGCCCTGTGTTCCAGTTCATTTTGGACTCTTCTTTTAATATTCACCTGTGGTTTATTTGTGACTTGTGTAAGTGGAAAACAGCTGTGAACAGTGAAATGCTGACATGGTGGAACTCTGGCTCTTTGGAGGTTCTAGAAAGTGGGGAGGTGACAGAATTCCTGATACCATAAGCATGACCATAATATGCAAAGTAACATTCATTTGCATATTTTGGATACTATTAAAATTTAAGAGGAGGAGGGAGACCTCCCTCCCTAGGTCTACTTTTAACCCTTTCCTGTTTTCCCCATCATTTTATTGTCCTTCATTGCTTTGATTTCTCTCTTTGAAGCTGTTTTACCTCAATGTCTCATTTAACCACATCCCTTTTACTGTATCACTTCACTACTTCTTCTCCCATGTTGCCTAGATTTAGAAATAAGCAAAAGAAGCTGATCACTAATCAAACCTGCATTTTTGTACTTTCCCTGTACCCTTCCACCACAGCTGCAAAGATGCCAGACCATCCCTTTCCTTCCAACACATGGAGCTGCTAATACCATCACCTAGTGGAGGAGAAGAGACATCTCCACACTTCAGCCTTTGCTGCTTTTTTTGAAATTCCCAACCCTCCCATTATTTCCTGGTATGAGGGAGGGGATGGGACCCACTGGAAAGTGGAAGTATCTCACAGCAACAGGGCCAGCTCGGAGAAGAGGATGGTTCTGGCAGGGAGAGGTGGACTAGCTTGGACTTATAAACAGAATTCATGGCCTAACTCTGCCTTATTATGATCACAGATCTTCCCTCTTGTCCGCCAGCCCCAATAGCCTCAACATAACTCAGGAAATTAACAGCCCTCCAGGGGTAGGACTTTTTGAAGTTTTCATTGTTTTAACTCCAATGAAAAGCAAAAATAAGCTAACAAAACACCTTTAGCCACATTTTAACAAGGATAACCTATATACCAGTTTAGGTGAATGAGACTATACACTTAACTATTAATCAAAATGATTAATGGATTTCAAGCCTGGAAGGAATCATTGTGATCTAGTCTGACCTCCTTCTAGAGACCATATAACTTCCCCAAAATAATTCCTAGAGTGTATATTTTATAAAAGCATCCTATCTTGACTCAGAAAGTGTGGAAATGACGGAAGTGTTGAATGACTTTTTTGTTTCAGTTTTCACCAAAAAAGTTAGTAGCGATTGGACATCAAACATAGTGAGTGCCAGTGAAAATAAGGTAGGATCAGAAGCTAAAAAAGGGAAAGAACAAGTTAAAAATTATTTAGACAAGTTAGATGTCTTCAAGTCACTCAAGGAGCTGACTAAAGAGATATGAGTCATTAGCGATTATCTTCAAAAAGTCATGGAAGATGGGAGAGATTCCAGAGGACTGGAAAAAGGCAAATATAGTGCTCATCTGAAAAAGGGGAAATAAGGACAACCTGGGGAATTACAGACCAATTAGCTTAACTTCAGTACCAAGAAAGATAATGGAGCAAATAATTAAGCAATCAATTTGCAGACACATAGAAGATAATAAGGTGATAAGTAACAATCAGCATAGATTTATCAAGAACAAATCATGCCAAACAAACTTAATTGCTTTCTTTGACAGAACAACAAGCCTTGTGGATGGAGGAAAGCAGCAGATGTGGTATATCATTACTTTATTAAGGCTTTTGATACTGTCTCGTGTGACTGTCTCATAAACAAACTAGGAAAATACAACCTAGATGGAGCTACTATACTATAATGGGTTGGAAAACCGTTCCCAGAAAGTAATTATCAGTGGTTCACAGTCAAGCTGGCAAGGCATATGAAGTAGGGTCCCACAGGGACCAGTTCTGGGTCTGGTTCTGCTCAATATCTTAATCAATGATTTAGATTACGGCATAGAGAGTACACTTATAACATCTGCGGATGATACCAAGCTGGGAGGGGTTGCAAGTGCTTTGGAGGATAGGATTAACATTCAAAATTATCTGGCAAACTGGAGAAATGGTCTGAAGGAAATAGGAATAATTTTCAGGACAAATGCAAAGTACACGAATTAGGAAGGAACAATCAGTTGCATGCATACAAAATGGGAAACAACTGTCTAGAAAGGAGTACTGCAGAAAGGGATCTGGGGGTCAGTGAATCACTAGCTAAATATGAGTGAACAGTGTAACAGTTGCAAAAAAATAAAAAGTGAACATCATTCTGGGATGTATTAGCAGGAGTGTTTAAGGAAGACTTGAGAAGTAATTCTTCCACTCTACTCCATGCTGATTAGGCTTCAACTGGAGTATCAGGAAAAAAGTGGACAAATTGGAGTAAGTCCAGGAAAGAGCAAAAAAAATGATTAAAGGTCTAGAAAAATGTGACTATGATGGAAGATTGAAAAAAAATGGGTTTGTTTAGTCTGGAGGAAAAAAAAGACAGAGGGGGCAGGATAACAGTTTTCAAGTACATAAAAGGTTTAGATGGAGAAGGGAGAAAATTATTCTGAGGATAGGACAAGAAGCAATGGGCTTAAATTGCAGCAAAGGTGGTTTAGGTTGGACACTAGGGGTACATCTTCACTACCCGCCGGATCGGTGGGTAGCAATCGATCCCCAAACGCGCTCCCCGTCGACTCTGGAACTCCACCAGGGTGAGAGGTGGAAGCAGAGTCGACGGGAGAGCCGCGGCCATTGATCCCGCGCCGTGAGGATGGGAGGTAAGTCGATCTAAGATACGTCGACTTCCAGGGCCAACTTTAGGCCGATTCAGACGATTCGGCTGAATTGGGCCCCACGCTAAGAGGGCCCCGCGCCGCAGCTCTCCACCCCGCCCCCAGCTCACTTCCCCCTCCTCCCCTCCCCTGAACCCTCCGCCCCCTGCTCCTCCCCCTCCCCTGCTTCCCGCGAATCAGAGGTTCACAGGAAGTCTGAAAAGAAGCAGGGGCGGGCAGGCAGTACCAGGTAAACTAGGGTGGCAGGGGGTGCGAGAAGGGCTCCGGGAAGGCGCGGCCCAGTCCGGCCCCGGTTCCGGCCGAGCGCACCGGCCCCAGCGGCTCCGGGCCGGCTTGGCTCCGGCCCGGCCCCTGCGGCGCGGTTTGGATCTGGGTCTGGCCCGGCCCCCATGGTGTGGCGCAGCTCGGTCCGGCCAGGCCCCCGCGGCGCGGTGCAGCTCCGGACGCTGAGCAGCTCTGGGCCGGACCCAAGCCCGGCGACCCCGGCCGGAGCGCATGCCTGCCCTGTCTCTGGCCCCGCGCCGCTCCAGGAATCACTGCAGCCCCTGCGGGAGGTGGGGCGCAGGGCTCTGTGTGCGCTGCCATTGCCGCGCCTCCAGGTACCTCCCCCGAAGCTCGCATTGGCCGCAGTTCCCCGTTCCCGGCCAATGGAAGCTGCAGGGGGCAGTGCCTGGAGGCAAGGGCAACACACAGAGCCCTCTGCCCCCCCGCCCCGGGGCCACAGGGGGAAAGCCTGTGGGCCGGATCCAAAGCCCTGAGGTGTCGAATCCAGCCCGCGAGCCGTAATTTGCCCACCCCTTGTCTAGATAATCCTTAGTCCTACCATGAGTGCAGGAGACTCGTGCAGGACTAGATGACCTCTCAAGGTCCCTTCCAGTCCTATGACTCTATGAAGCTAAACAGATTGAGCTCCTTGAGTCTATCACTATCAGGCATGCTTTTAATCCCTTGATCATTCTCATGGTCTTGTCTCTGAACCCTCTCCAATTTATCAACATCCTTTTTGAACTGTGGTCACCTGAAATGAAACAGTATTCCACCAGCAGTTGGACCAGTGCCAAATGCAGAGGAAATTAACTTCTCTGTTCCTACTTGAGATTTCCCTATGTACACATCCAAGCAGCCCTTTAGGCCACAGCATTGCACTAGGAACTTCTGGTCAGCTGATTATTCACCATGACCCTCAATTCCTTTTCAAGGTCACCGCTTCCCAGGATAGAGTCCCCTATCCTGTAAATATGACTTACATCCCTTGTTCCTGATGTATACATTTATATTTAGCCATCTTAAAAACACAATGTATTTGCAAGCAGTTTACCAAGTAATGTAGATCAGCAACCTATAGTATTCATTATTTCCCACTAG